GTGGAGACAAATATACACTTGGTGCTCAGTATTGTTGAAGCACTGAATAAATGTGCCCCAAACAGCCTCCACCCAAAACACAAATCAACACTGCAAAGGTGAGTGCACTGTTTCCCACTGATCAAATTGGGTGTGGGTGGCATGGGAATTTGTCTATAATAATGAAACAGTGTCCACTATATTCAAATAACCTCTGCAGACCAATAATTAAAGTTATTGTTTTTCTTTTAAGTCCATGTTGTATTAAGATGATATGAGAGTCGAGAATGATTTTAATAAACTCTAAATGGGTGTGTATTATATTCTTGTACAGTGTGGTATGATTTTACTCAGCAAAGATACATACATGCCTTGAGAGCAGATAATACTTTGTTGAAAATTATATTCCTGATACATATCACTATGCCTGGAACTCAAAAACTCTGCACTCAAATACACATTAAATAAACAGATGAATAAGTTAACAAATCAATGAAGGGTATTAAAACTGCATAATTATCAATGAAGCCCTGGGAGTAGTTTTCTCCATTTCCATTTCATTTCCATCTGTCCCTGTTTCTTGGGTTTGTATCAAGATGACCATTCCTCCTTCTGGTCTTAATACCACCAAAGTGATTGTTGACTTATGTTTAAACCTGAGAACAGCAATACAATGATCCAGCTCTGTCTTTCATTTCTGAATTTCTCAGAACCATTTTGAGAATTTCCAGGAAATGAACTTTCCCAGTAAGCTTCTGTTTGTTAGAAAGGGTCAATATTCTTTCGATCTAGCAAGTGCATTTTTCTCCTGTCCTCTAAGATATTTGGGATGTAGAGGACAGAGAAGAGTCATGGAAGGAAGAATGCTTCTTAGAGGGAAAAAATCTCTGTTAAAAGTCTTTACTGAAAATTAATTTACTTATCACATCCCAAAACTTTCTATGTGACCCAGAAACACAATGATCCACTCAAATAGTTGAATATGCAAAACAAAGTAAGGAAGTTTAGCCCATGTGTTAGCTAACTCATTAAGCATTGCTTTTTACCAATTTACCTCCACTCCCAAACCAGTACCACTAGTAGCAGCTAAGGAAGATCTTCACAGAAACGTTGTTGCTATTGTTGTTGTTTTTGCTTTTTAAATCATGTAGTTAAATTCATAGTTTAAGAAAACACAACCTACCAAATTCTGACTTTCATGGCAGATCAATGAAGAAATACTACTCACATTGCAAAATAATTTATCCAGAACTCCTTCAAAAGATCCTTAACAAAGTTATAAAACTGTTTTATAGAAAAGGTTTTAGGTGCATTATCAGTTTTAATGTACCAGTGGGTGGAACTTCTCTGTTCTTACATTTAATAAACCTATGTGTATCAGAAAAACTTATAGTTTCTCTGACTGTATTACTGGTACCTATTTCAGATGATTTGTTTCTAAAAAATCAAAGTCTTGTTTCCTCCTAATAATAGCTAAAAGCATTGTTTATGGGAATAAGTGTTTTAACAACCATTCATTTTCTTTCTTCTATTGTGAATTGTTTGGGGGTAAAAAGAGGGCTGTCATGATTTTAGAAATAAGAGAGTCAAAGATTGTCCTTAATTTCTTGATGATTGAGTTTAGGGTTCCTCTCCATGGTTTTCTATACAATGATGAAAAGAAAAAGAGGAGTAGGTTTGAAAAATGAAGAGAATGTGACAGATGAAAGCCACCTCTAGTAGTTTAGTGGCATTCCCTCAGCAAGAAAATAGAAATGAAGCAAAGACCTATAATGAAAATGAGAGAGTGGGTCTCTTTAGGAACTACAACTTCAGAAGGTTATGGATTCTTAATGCTGAAAGTTGTTTTTTCCCTTTTGTCAATATTGCCTCCCCTACAGTAATCTCACTTTGTTCTTAATACACATTATTTTTGACTATTGTTCGTTTCCTCTTGTCTTTTATTCAGAAACTGAACAATTTCTCCTTAAAAGACAAGCAAACAGAAAGATGCTAAAAGCAAGAATGGAGAATGAATGCCCAAAACAGAATTAGCATTCAGAAATTTCTAAAGATGCTGTAATTCCCAGAGGGAAGTATTTATTTATATAAGAACTTTCAGTTAATTATAGAAATAAAATTCTGGAAAATTACACTCTCGGTTTTGATCTATGTACACCATCCCTAGGGGATGGATCGCCTGCTATGTGGGTTTCCATTCTCAGAATAAGAAAGTCCCTTGTCACTCCTAACTTGTGGTGATCCTTTTTAAAAATTGCAATAGAAATGATGACACTAATTTTCTCTGGTAATAAGGCCCCCTTTCTTAATGACTGATTTTTCTAATTTTTAATTTTTTTCTGATTTTTTTTAATCTACAGGAAAAGACACAGAGCTTGAAAGTCAGGATATATGCTTGTTTGACCAGCATTATCAACTGCGATGCTCCCATTCAGTATCCAGGATTTAGTGGTCTTGCTGTAGACATTTGATATATCCAGACAGTACCTCCTGCCCATGAAGAACCAGACTGAGCCAGGTACCACCAAGCTAAGAAAATGGGAGATAAAAGGAGAGGATAAAGGCAATCATTTATTTAAAACTCTTGAAACTTGGTATTTTCATTTTGCAATGAAAGAAAAGCAGATCAGTGTTAAAATGTAGGAGACTTTTTTTGCGTTAAAAGCATTCTAAAAATATCAAGAGTTTTATTGTAATATTTCCCAGAAAATTATAGCACTTCCCAGTCAAGAAAAATACTTCCAGCATGAGTAGTTTCCAACTTTCTATGTCCCATTTTGTTTTTTTCTATGATGTTTTAAATCTCTGTCTGAAAAAAATGAAACTTTATAATAGCCACTCAAGTGAAAAATATTAAGAGGATCATCTACTGCTCATGAGAATGATAGTCAAGTGTACGTATCATTCCCACTCACTCTCACTTTGTAATGCAAGGATCTTTAGGGATCACATGGAGAATTTATCAAAAAGAGCATGATTGTAGTCATTACTAATTCAAAAGCAAACATGAAATGTAACAGTCTAAAATATTTAGTTACAAATATTTAGGCTTGTAATAGTGATACACACCCTTAATTGTGCCTATTGTGGTTTTGACAAATGTCCCCAAAAGCTCCTCTGCTGATATAGGAGGTGACATGAATAGATTATGAGAGCAGTAACCTAATCAGTGGATTAATACATTTTGTAGGTTAATAATTTGAATGGATTACTGAGTGGTGACTGTAGGAATGGGCCTAGCCAGAGAAAGTGAGTCACTGAAGATATGACTTGGGGATTATATATTTTGTCCCTTGCTTCTCTCTCTCTCTCTCTCTCTCTCTCTCTCTCTCTCTCTCTCTCTCTC